TTTTGGGTTATTATCAACATAGAACATTGACACATTTCACATGTGCAACAATTTCGTCAAAACCGGATGTTTCGATGTCAAACTTAATTCTAAAAGGCAGCATGGTTCGAGGTTTTCCGGAAAATGGCTCAAATTTACACAATAAATCGTGAATTTCACATAGAGCACAGTCGTTACCGCAAAATATTGAAACAGAAAAATAATTATAACTGTTCGACAAATAATTTCCGATGAAAATATTTTGCGGTAACGAGTGTGCTCATGGTGAAAAAAATAAAATAAAATGTCAACGCGTGTAAAAATGCTATGATCATGAACCACCATATTTGTCTGTCTATTATGCAAACTTTAATATATAAACTAGAAAGGTGTATGATATTGAATATGTAAGTGGATGAACACTCGTCTCACACAAGTAAGAAAATGTCAACTGAGGCACCTATAGACACGTCTGACTACTGGAATAAATATGATGGCTTCAGTTCTAAAAACATATCCGTTAAAAATGCCGATTTATTGACAGTTCTTTTTCCCAAATTAGATTGATTTACAGACATGTACAACTTTTCAACTTACTATATGTATGACCATCACAAATACAAACTTTCATGTCAATTATTATGTTTGTTTATGACTGTGACGAGTATAAGAAATTAGAGTTAAATCTAAACTTTGTTATCAAGAATCGGTATTCGGTAATTTTTTAGAGTGACAGTCAGTGATTCATTGGTAGGTCATAGGACATCGAATAAATAGATAACACACATGGTGATAGAAAAAAAGCAGTCAATTGTTCATTGAAGGCAATAAATATGGAAAAGAATTTAAAAATTACATTTCTGAAATCAAAGGAAAACAAACTTATGAGTTCTCAGTTGTACATGACGTTACTCGGTGTACGTCATTTGTGACGTCATAATAGATGCAGTCATTGGAAATCAGTGGCAGGGAGAAATGGGGAAAATTCTTCTTCTTTTTTTATATACAAGTAGTTTTTTGTCTCTTTGTTAAATTCATTCAATTGAAGCGGGAAATTTATTATTAAAAAAAATCAACAACTCTGTAAACTGGATTCAACGTAGAACTCGTGTGTGTGTTTACATAAAATGCACACGTTCGCTTTAACAAATCCGCACATCGATGCATACATTACATATATTTGTATAAGTATCACACGAAGCAGCAATCTATATTAATCATTTTTTTTTAATTTCAAATCCTAAAAAAATCATTTACTTCACTACATAAAACCCGCGTATAAAATTTTTATGCACTTGCATAACGTGAAAAATAATTTTTAGCTTTCTTCAAAAGTATTATGAAGAAGGGGTTTCAATTTTGTTTTCAGAAACAAGAGCTGAATTTAGAATATATGACCCTAGATAGTGTTTATTATTATTTATAAAAGAACATCAAATCAAAGATCCTTCTTTGGCCACAAAAGTGTTTCTTATATCAAATATTGATTATTCTGTATTTCAATTTTTTTGCATGTAGATCAACATTCAAAATTGCCCCTGCATTGTTATGGCTTAGGGTGGGGGAAAATGTGGATTAGGGGGACTATGTCTTCCTCTACAATTAATATCTGAAAATCGCTACGAAGATTAATAGTTTATCACTATACGATTAGAAGAGGTCACCTGGGGGGGGGGGGTTCCATGCTTTGACATTAATTATACGTTCATTACATACAATTATATCAGCATTATTGTGATCTACAGGACTTGTCTAAAATATACTTCAAAATTATATAATTTACTGTAACATTTTCTTTAAAAAAATATTTTTAAGAGATAGAACTTTGTATATGTTCGTCCTTTGTATAACCCCCCTTCTTTTCTGAAAATGCTGCTTACTATGACCATAAATGTGTTTTATATTTCAAGAAAAACAGAGACCATTTTACACTTTCCTCTTATAAATGCTGTCTATAATAAGGTCTTATTAAGGAGCCTTTTTCGGGTAAAATCAATCTTTCCCTGTAAGTATTAGTAAAATGTTAATGTCTGTACTTGTATTTCACTTTTTATTTTGACACGTATTTATAAGAATTACATACGCATGGAAATCATAATGTGAAAATGAAATGGAAAGTGATAAACGATAAGCTAGCAATGCATAATTTAAAAAAAACATAATAGAATTATTACATGTAAGTCAATCGATAAAAATGTATTAACAACACACTACAAATACCGTACTCCATACATAATTTTTTTACTGGATTTAACATGACCCAGCAATTGGCTGGTTCGCGAAGATGAGAAAAAATATCTGTGAGATTGAGGTGTGCGCGAATCTCGCGGATATTTCTCGCTTGCCTGTAAAAATTTATTAACAGCTGAGGCCTTATATTCCCGAGTGCTCGCCAAGTTATTAAAACTGTATAGAAAAAAGGTCCTATTAACTATTGTGTACATGTACTTCTTCTCAAGTAATGTACTGGTATTTAGATCTAGATTTTTATCGCAAATCTCGCTTCAAAGTATACACTTCGGCCGAAATAGCGTTGCGTTGTGTGATGATACTGTTGGATCTAACAATTGAACAATTTGAATCACTGATTTCGTTTTGTAAAACAAGCGCTTTAATTGGTTGATTAGGACCCGCCCACTCTCGCGCGGAAAGCGTTGTTGACTTTAATTCTGAAAGAAAAAAAACAACAAACTATAACTTTTTTAGCATGTGATATATTTCTTACGCAGACGATACATGGATATCATTCGATGGCACGCTTTATTTCATTTTTCTGCCGATTTCCTATTGATGACATTTTACACTTAGGTGTTTTTTCTGTGCAACTTTTCAGTGCATTAAAAATATTTTCTCCATGTTTTAGTCATAAGTGAGCTATTTCATTGCGTTGGCAAACACAAATTTTAAACAGGGTATTACTGGAAATCATGTAATTACCCAGCTGATAGCGGACAACTTCAATAAGTTGTTATTCAGTGAAAAAAAATAAATTCATAATCATAGGTGGTAAATTGTTTCGCGGGTTATGTATTTTTTCTACAACAGCTGCTTCCGTTCATTCCAGTAACAACAAACAAAGAAAGCATTTTATTGTTTAATTAAATGCATCTGTGCTACTACGGTCCCATTACAACGGTCGTCATGGCAATTAACATGCGACCAGAAAAATCTAGATCTTTGTTCTTTTTTGCGGGTTCCAAGTGAAAATTTTACTGTTATGGCGAATGTTATTCATTTAAAATATGAAATATTACTTATAATTTATGTTAAAAAATAATTAATGTAACAACATTTACCAAATCTAAGTACGTTTTGTTTTTATTGGTGCATTGAAGAAAAAACAAGAGGCCCATGGGCCTTATAGGTCACATGAGCATTATGCAACAACTTTCCAGTGATTGAATTTAATCAATGTTTAGCCAGATTCTATAGCATTTACAAATTTGATCATCATTACTATACACTTAGCAGTTGCTTAGTTTGGTTAATTAATACCCATAGGCAGGGTAAGGTAACAAAATATGCATTTCAACAACTCAATAATATTTAAGAAATGAATTTAACTTTTGAGGATTCATGAGGTTATGAACTACGACACTTTACGCCGGCAAATTTTATGAAGCGCGGTAGTTAAAAAAAATTTTTTTCTAATTCTATTCATTCAGAATTATCATCTTTATTGATAATGAAGTTGATAAGATTGATTCTAATTATTGCATTTTAAAAGTCCTATATTCCTATATATCTGTGCATTGTAATAGCAATGTCATTCTATCGCTAATTGACGTGACGTTACATTACAGAAAATGACGTTCCTATTGCATTTTTCTATTAAATCATTGCCATATTGCAAGACCTCGTTTTTAAAAAGTATAATAGATATTGAAAAAAGAAAAACGGTTATGAAAAGCCTAAAGTCTATACTATCTATGATGAAAATCGCGTTAATATCTTGCAAGAGGCATTTTTTGATGGTTCGTGGACTTTGCTCTTTAATTTAAAGAAAAAAGATTAGAAACTATATGATGCATATTCAATTCTAAAGAGAATATACTGTCATATGTATATCTCTTGAATATTAAATTGTTAAATGCTTTTTATATTTTCAGAGTTCGGTTAATGTTACTCTTTTTCTCTTGTAGCTAGTTTGTTGAAGAGTTTTTAAAAGACAAATTTCAGTAGTATTGCAAAAAGCAAAATGGTGAAAATGAAAACCTTTTGTATTTGCAATTTACTTCTGAAATTATATATTCATCAGATCATGGGATACAAAGCATTCTGTACTCCAGTTCTGTAAGCAGTTCACAGAGAAAATGGCCATACAATATATTTTTTACATACCAGGTTCTAGAATTAATGTTTTGTCATCTAATCCAATATCACACTTTCATTTGGTTATTGTCCACTCATCTATGTTCTAATTCATTGTCATCATAATTGTGTGGAAATTCATTATTGTTAAAAAAAAAATAACTCTGTGTGACTGACTATATCATTTTAGCACTACTAATTTGTAACACACAGTTCTGCAGCTGCATGAGACACTGTAAATAATGTTTGCATGAATTCATTGCATGTAGATTTAATTGACCATCCAGACCAGTACTAACATACATTTCATAAAAAAGGTGAGTTTTTATTTAAAATTGCAGACTATGTTATAAACTCATGAATCTATACATGCAGTGTACTCTATTAATAATTTGAATGCATGTGTGAGGTAATAAATGATAATAAATTTCAAATAACTTGATGAAAATAGCTCATCTGAGAATTTTTATATTGAAGCATACTGCTGATTTTTTATAGCTTCTTGGTGTTCTTAATAAAGTTCACATAACCCTGTCTGACAATTCCAAGTCGCAGCTTCTGGACTCATTTGCAACTCATTCTGAAGAAAGCTTACTCCAGACAATATCCTCAGGTAATTTTTTAAAGCCATAAGTAAATCAATTGTCAATAAATTGTTGAAAATGCAATTGCTGTGAACAGTTGGAAAGTTCCTCAAATAGATACCAGATATTACCGTAAATTTATTACATTTGGTGTATACAATATTTGGCAGAAATTCATTTTTAAACAAATCAGCGTAGATTTAATTAAGCACTGTCTGAATTAGCTGGCTATAAAAGTAATTATACAAGACATTTAGCGATGTACTTGAATTAGGAGCCTCAATTTTACACAAAATCACTGAATGGAATACACTGCTAAGTGTAAGACATTTACAGTATTTACAAGCTTTAATAAAACAAATTCCTTCTGCTTTAAAGGCATCGATGGAAAATTAAATGGTGACAACTTAGACATTCGTGTAGACACCAATGATGTTAGAATGAACAACAAGGCCAAGTACTATCATTTCTTTGCTACAGACTGGGTTGCAGATCGAGTGTCTGAAAAATTAAAAGACCTGGACGACAGATCCCCAGTGGGTAACATTAACCAGATTTCCTATGTTAACTTCATTCCAACGCCAGAAGAGAATACTCAGTTCAAAAACTATCTAAAAGTCCTACTTGCAAGAAAAATTGTAGACTACATGCCTGAATTTAAATGGATGGAAAAAGTACTTCCAGATCACATTCCACATGATTTACAACAGGAGATGTCAACACCATCCAAGATATTTATGCTTCCAAAAAATGACGCATGCTATTCAGATTGTCTACACATACTAGATAGTTATGTTGAGGATATAAACAGGATCTATGCCAAAGCTGGTAGAGGTAATATTTTAATGTTTAACGCTAGCTATATTAAATCATACATCTGTGATGTTGAAAGTATTACTAGTATTCAAGATAATTTAAACATTCCTTAATTTTACAGGAGGTGAACTTGATAAGTTGCAAGTTCCAGTGGGTGGTGATCAACTAACTAGGGTACGCTTAGAGGGGGCAAAAGCACTAAGAAAGGGTACACATACTGCTGTTGAAAGATTCGATCAGTTGAATCCTTTCATCATTGAATTATTTCACACCCTGCAAGATTTCTTGGAGGTAATTTGAATGATAAATTGAATAATTTTACTTCCTAGCTAAAAATTTTCTTGTATTTTGGTGGAACTGAACATAATATTATTATTAAACAAAATATTTTTTCATTATTTTTCCCGTAGAAATTATGCAAAAAGTTTTTAAAGCTGAACAAGGCCACGGATAAAGCAACACTAGCACACCTGAAAGTGGTCATCCGGAGGAGCAATGTCAATGGGAAGGTTAAAGTTCGTTTCAAGGTATAAACATTTTTGTAATCTATTGCAATTGACGTATACATGTAGTTCAGATCAACACAATACATTTGATATATTCATACAAGCAAATGTTTCCCCATGCTTATTAAACATATGGTATGTGTATTTGATCACATGACAAACCCTTATGCAGATCTGAGTTTAAACCTGCCTAGGGCTTTTATTCATATGTTGAGTCACCTTAAATACTTTCTATTTTTGTAAAATTCACCAGGCACATGAGCAATTTGTGGATTGTGTTGGCACTGCTTATCTGCTATCCCTGGTAATGGAACTCTTCAGAATGCAGAATCTCCATGATTTTCCAATCCATGATAGCATTCCAGATAATGTGAAGATGCTTCATTTGGGAAGAAGAAGTGAGACTTTCAATAAGGTTATGGACCTTGTATTGAAGAAAACCTTCATTCCACCATTGCAACAAGACACAGAGGTATGCTTTAAGAAAATTAAGTAGTATGAATCACACTTAAAACAAACTGGTTTATAAGTTAATTATATTTTGTAAATTCAATTTCAATAGGACAATGGTCAGCCTCGTCCTGGAAGTTTGATAGTGCAAGTTTGTGCAGGGAATATGAACCCATGTCAGATAGAGTCACCTGTAAACGAAAACCAAGTCACCATCAAATTATCAATTGGTGAAGAAATGTACCATCTTAAGGCAAGTACTGAACAAGTGCGTAATGGATGTACTTTCCACTTAACAAACAAACAAATACCAGTTACAGTGAAAGAAGTAACACCACCCTCTGATGAATTGCAAAACTACACCATCAACTTTCTCAACTGGTTTTTTATTTCTTGTTCTATGCAAGATGCAATTTCAGAAGGTAACATATACCTAACCAACATTACACTGAAATATATGATGCCACTCTTCTACTCCCATTCGTCTTTGTCAAAGTACATGACCGAGTGTATCGACTATGTTCTTAAAACTGAAACTCTATTGACACCTAAAATGGCACTGAAAGTTAGGGCGGCATCTTTCATTAACCCAACTGGAAGGCTGGGACACAACAAAGCTGCTGACATTGAAAAGGAAAACCAAGTTAAAATGTTAAAAGATTTGATTCGTGGCCTAGGTGCAAATAAAACAGAAAATGCAATTGTGAAAATTTCCAAGGTGGCACCAGTAATTCACAGCATTTCCGACAACCTTTGTGCAATGACATCAACACAGAATTTTCACACAACTCACAAAGTTAGACCATGTGACCAAGATGTTCAACAGATCTTAGACATCTTACAGAAGAACAACCCGTGGCAAAACACACCTGGTCGTCATTTAAAGGCATTCAAATACATTTCCAAAAGTCCATATAGTTTTAATCGACAACATTTTGAAATGTGTGTTATGAACACTGTTGAGAGACTTAAGCGAGGCATTCCTACCACTGATGACAGAGAAAGTGATGATGACGAGTAAACTCATGGACATTTATTTATATATTTGCAGATATAAATATTGAATATTTACAATTACCAGGTTACTAAACACACAATCTTTTTTTTACAGTTGTGCAATACATGTATTTGGTTCAACAACAAATAAAACTAACTTTACTTTGGTAATATGCATGTTTATTCATTATACAAATTAAAGTAGTGCATTAAGTACATGTTCCAGTAATTAGAATGTCTACATTACATTGCTGTTTAAAATAATACCCATTGTCTTGTTAAAATGCCTTTAAAAGGAATGATGTACATGCAGGATAGGGTAGCACAAAAATGTTGTTCTGTATAGATATACATTTACTGTAACAATAGAAATGTTGTGTAAAATGTTTATTGTACACATGTATGTAAAACACAATATTATAAATTAAAATCCTAATATATCTTGTACTATTTGAATGTTAATTCACATATTTACACCCTTGCTGTGAAGGAGAGGGGGGTATACTGTTTTACCCTTGTGTTTCTGTCTGATGTAAACTTTCTTAGTATTTATTGGTGCATCTGACTGTACCACGTTTTTGACTCATCACAGATGCTTGAAATTCTAGCACAATAATTGTTAAGGCATGCTTTATATTGGAAATCATTTTCTGTTTGTTTGTATCAATATGAGAGGGTATATTCACATCAGATTGGGGAATTCATAGTGAGCATTTCCTCACACACTTCTTGTTCATATTATAACCGTACATATATTTGGTAAGTAATCTACTGCTACATTTGCTAGAATATTGCATATTTTAAAATACAAATAAATTAGATTTCTCACAAGAAGAAAGCAAAAAGAAAAAAAAACATACACAAATTCACTTCTTCTGACAATTAGAGCAACAATTATCTGGTGAACCACAATAAAGAACATCTGAAAACCCAAAATATTCCAACAAATGTTTTCTTAAACATGTACATTTATTTAAGCAAAATTTTCTAATTTCTTCTGAGAGACCTTTTCTGTTTGGTGCAATGTCACTCATATTATAATATAAAATAGCTGTGGCTTGTTGTCCATTACGACCTGCTCTACCAATCTCTTGTAGATATTTCTCAAGAGTTGTCGGAGGCTGAAAGTGAATGACACGAGATATGGCCGGTGCATTTAAACCCATTCCAAGAGCAACAGTGGCAAATATTAATCTTAGTGTAGGATTTTCTTTTCGTAATTCATTAACTATATGAGCTTTCATTTTAGATGTATAATCCTTATGAAATTGTGCAAATAATCTGTTTTCAGGGATCGGGTCATGGACTGGAAAATAAGAAAATTCACCTAATAAATCTTCAATGTATTGATAACAGTAGCCTAATGCTTCTAATTGATTGATATAAACAATGGTGAGAGGAAAACTAGAAAGCATGTCACGCAACTCCTGGGCTAAAGGGTGCAGCAATTCATCCAGTTTTTCATACTTTCTTATGTTTGGAAGGCGTGTCTTTATCTGTATGAAATAAAACAGTCACACTTGTATTTCTTCCAAACTCATCATACAGAGTCACAGAGATGAAATCGTAATGAAATTGTTACTTATGTTACTGATGGCAAACTTAATACATGTAACAGAATTTTCAAATTAACAACTTTAATAATAACAGGCTATAAACTCAGTTTTTCTTACAAAGAATATCAGTAATAACAAAACTAAAAGTGTGTACCTCAAGTTTAATATTAGGACGGTCTGGATTTACGGTGATAATGGTAACATCTGTGAATTGTAGGTCATCTACTAGTTCTTTGATAGCTGTTGGTGTAGCTGTTGCTGTCACGGCAAGATGCACAGTATCTGGTGTTGGGAAAATACATACCAGCTCAGACAACTTCTTGAACGCTTTGCGAAATGACACCCCCCTACAAAAAGTGGCATACTTGTAAATAAAATTTCCTATAAATTTTAATGTTTAAAATGTCAATTCTTTTGAAAACTTAATAATTGTTATTAATGTCATATTTACATGCACATTACATACTGCTCTCTGTTCCAGCAAGAATGAAATTAACTTTTATTATTAATAATTAATTATATACAATTAAAATCTTATTAAATTATTTGCTAAGATAAGCACTTAATTTTAATTTTTTTTCAATAAATAATTTATATTTCCTTTGCAAATAAAAACACACCATTCTGCCACCATATGTACTTCATCAATCACAACTGCACAGACTCTCTGCTGGTACAATTTGGATCTCAGCATAGATGAAATTTTCTTGTTGTTAAGAAGAGTTTCCGGGTGCGCATATATAATGTTATACTCTCCCCTCTGTAGCTCTATTAAGGATGTCGAAGATGGTAAATGGACATCTGTCTCGGCATCATCTGATTCATCATCATCTTCTTCTTCGTACCTCACTTTGTAAGTGCTTCCATATGTACCTATATAGGACAAATTTATAAAATTTATTTCATGGTCATCAGAATCACCAAATTTGGTGGACTGGCAAGTTTAAGCTTTGTAGTACAGAGAAAAAAAATCAATATGTCTTCACACTTTTTAACTGTTAATTTTTTAAATGATTAAAATGTTTATAAAAATGTTAACATTACATACCTTCACAATTTAAAAAACAGGCTTTAATTCCTTTTTCACATAGACTCATCACTTGGTCCTGCATTAAAGATGTCAAAGGGCTCACAATAATGGCAATTAAAGGATGTGGTAGACCTCTTTTTTGCTGAAACAGCCATGGAAGGCACTGGAAAATAATACTCTTGCCATATCCAGTTGGCATAACAGAGACACAGTCATGTCCAATAAATAATGAACGTAGGGTTTCTAGTTGCTTGTCTTTTAAAGAAAATTCCAAGCCCAACGAATTAGTTGCATGTTCAACACATTCTTCAAAGGATGCCATAACTACGTGTGGTTTTAACCGTTTTTCTCTGGCGACAGCGTGAAGACACAGGGCAATTCGAAATTCCGCTGTATGTAAACAAATCTATTTACGATTCCATAAACACATTTATTTTTAATATAACTATAATAAAAAAAATAATAAATTAAATTTTGAAAACCCTTTCTATTGAATTTTTAAGGATTAAATATATTAATTAACTGATTAAATGCTAAATTTTAAAGGAATTAACTTTCGTTGTTTCACTACTGACAAATGCGCACTTCCGGTGAATAGTTTCATAGGTTCGATGTAATCCCTACGCTCCATCACTGTCCGAGTCTTTTTATCGGTTACGGAAAAGGGCGAGCCTGATCCGATTGGATAAGAGATATGCCTTAACAACTTCCAACACCAAACTCATTAATTTATCTTTAACTGGATGTATGTCCAGTCATTATTCCCAAGAGACAAATGAAATTACATTATCTTCTGTGCAATGTAAAAACTGTTTTAAACACTTTATGATGTTTCTTTTTTTAAGTTTTTATGAGTAGTTTTAAGCTGTAGTATTTTTGAACAGATATTCTAGATTCTATATCTCAAACCTTATACATGAACCCAAAATGAACAAGTTAATTAAAATAAAAAATAAAACCTGTAAAATGCAAAAAAATTAACAAAAAGAGTTGAAAATTCCAGGTGCACACCTTCATATGGTGAATATGAAGTGTACAAATTTTCAGATTAATCCTTGCAATAGTTTCTGAGAAACGGTCCAGACAAAACCACAAATTAAAAATGAAAAAACACCTGTAAAATTCAAAATAATAATCCAATCAAGATGAAAATATCAGGTGCACAACGTCATATGGTGAATAATATGTGTACAAATTTTCAGACAAATCCTTCCAATAGTTTTTGAGTAATGGTCTGGACAAAATCTCGTCTACAGACAGACAGACAGACGGACATGGTGATTCCAATATACCCCCCCCCCCTAAACTTCGATTGCGGGGGGTATAAAAAGTTTCAGGGGCAATAACTCATTGAAGGGGTCACCAAAAACTTTCGCAATGAATAGATTCCAGAGTCCTCTCTATTAGTCAAAGACTTTAGTGAAAGTTTCATATTTCTACAGTTTACGGTTTCGAAGGAGTAGCGATAACAAGCATTTCTTGCAAAAGGGGCAATAGCTTCGAAAGCGGTCAACGATCAAACATGGGGGGGTCGTTTTTCGAAATAACTTTTAATATCAAATATCATGAACTATAAAGTTTTTTCGATAAGTCTTGCGGTTTCAAAAGTCCGGGAAGAAAAATAATAATAAACATAAGCATTTCAAGAGGTCTTTCCACAGAAAGGTGGAAAGACCTAATAATACTTTATTTATAGAAGGTAACCCGGTAAGTGCAAGCACTAGTCTTCCTCAGGGCCTTCTTTATAACATATATATACAATGTTAGAAGGTAAGGTCGGGATATAAAGATTTTTGTTTTGTTGTTTTTAATTTGCCCTGCATGTTATATAAATATACAGTAAAATGTGTTTAAAATGTCAAGATGATGAGATGTGATGAGACTTGATGAAATTTCAGTTGACCCTAAGGATGTCATGGAGGTGAGGTCCCTACCAACAGCTGAAGAGGGAGACGAAGGGGAAACCAGTGCTTAATTCAACTGGACAGGTATCCCCAGAAATCCCACCAGAGAAGAAGACAAAAGGAAAAAAGAGGACTGCTGTTCTGACTCTCATATCGTTTATTCGGAAGACCTAAATCCCGAAAAAATTGACTTTCCGAATGAGGCTTGTGAAATCCTGAATGAGGTACTGAGACATTTCGAAGACGGCCATGTTCGTATCGTGAAAGGAGACAATTCCGTATAAACAGAACTTAAATATTTTGATGAACAGACTTGTGAATATTTGAAAATTAATGCTTTAATTGTATATATTGACTGCATATTATGCGTAAAGTTTCATTGATTTGTTTGTGTTTATAATTATGCTTAATTGCTTATAATGAACTGGCTGCACTTAGAGTTAAGAGTATTATTAAGTCGTATGATTGATTTTGAAAGACGTATTCAATTTATGTCTTAATTGGCTGTTTTACGTGTATTATTGTGTGATAATCATTTCATTCGTATTTTATATTGTACATTAATTTTGATCGGAGTCAAAAGCTTAAGTAGGGGGGAGTTGTAACAGTATCTTATATTATTATTCTGTTATATTGTTACACAATGTTTTGTTTACATGTCATTGCTCCGCGCGAGCAATGTCGTTACATAAATGACCCCGTTAAAAAAGATTGTTCCTAATGAGCAATGCATATTATGTATATATATAGGCCGAGTAAAAGCTTAGGCAGTCAGTCTTATTAATTCTTCTTAAGGAATGAAGCTCATTTCAAGTTATGTTATACGATATAACATAACTTTGGGCAGTTTATGCTTACGCGTAAACTGCCCCAAGTTATGTTATATCGTATAACATAACTTGAAATAAGCTTCATTCCTTATAATTTAATTCCAATATAGACAATGAGACAATTTTTCCATTTTTTCCTTCGGAAAAAGGCTTTAAGTATAGCAAATTTAAAAAGTTAACGTCAAGCGGATTAATACGTTTTTGACGTAACTCATCAGTGATTTATTATTTGTGAAACTTTGGATTTTATTGTGATGTAAATAAACTGTAAATAATTTTATTTTGCGTCTCATTGAACCTAAAGCGTATGCTTTAGAGGTTGGATAATTATAGTCACATGGATTATTAATAAAACTGGAGTAACATGTATCTCACACATGAATTATTTAAATAGTGACGTTTACGGCTCGACGGCGCTACACGTGCATCTACATCCGCGGACGAAGAGTTTGTTCTTCTAATCCATTTATTATCAATAAGCCAGGTACAATTATGAAAAAGACGCTCAAACTACTATACGCCCCGTTTTTGGACTTCCCTGTCCCCATTTGGTCTTTATCCGTGTTAAAAGTTTTCGTCATTGTTCGCATTCGAATAACCTTTGTACGAGTTGGCTCAGCACTATCGCTATATCACTTGATGAGTTGTACCGAAAATCGTCGAAGTTTAGGAATGAAAAATTTTAATTTAAGGCTTTAGCGACTTTTATATAACAGGTTTACTTTGATACAATAACGAAGTCTATTGAGGGGTTTGGACAATACTGGCGTTCCCCAAAATTGTTATGCCAGATGTAATATCAATAAGAAGTTCCCCGTGAGGCTCAGGTGGCAGAGGATAGTTTTTTTTTGCAATCAAAACGTTTGACTGACGGTTTACTTAATATTGAGCTGCTTTTAAAATGTGCATTGAAAAATTTTAAATTCCCTCTACATGTGATAAAAGTATGATGTAGTCCCTTGAGAAATTTGATGCTTTTAGGAATAAAACATGTACAACTTACACAATGAGCCCTAAAGATGGCGCAGGGACAATCTCAAAATGTCATGTGAATCAAGCCTATTTTCACTATATCGCCGCAGCTGCATCTGCTTCCAGGCCCGTGCTAATGACCTAAGCTACCATACAAATTGCAGAATAACATTTGTACATACCAATGAACAGCAAGAGATAATGGCTCAACCACCTCGTTTTCAAGCTACAATTCATCCTGTGAACCCACCCCGCTTTTCTGGTGAAATACCGGTAGAGCGAGTTTTGAGCATAGTTTTGTATTTCTAGTCCATATCCCATATACAGTAGTAGTGACACTAAAGTGTCATATTTCAATAAAATATACAAGGCCACCAATTCCCTCCAAATGCACCCATAAAATATTCTAGCTATAAAATTACCTATAATATGCATTCAAACCTCAGGTCTCTCTATTTTTTCTATTTTTTGACCGGTACTTTATTCGAAACTATCCTCTGCCACCTCAGTGATACAGAGTCTGCTCTTGAGCAGTTCAGTCTCGAGTAAAGAGATTATGTTTATGTCACGGGTTCGCATTCAACCACTGTGGGACATGGAAACGGTACGTCAGGTGAAGTCCCATGTCGCAGTAGATGTTGGCCCTTTCGGCGGGACTTTATGCCGGTTACAAGTAAAAAATTAGAGCATTGATAGATTTTGTCAGGAACATTTAGGCATATACTTCTGTATACACAGCCACAAAGGACTACACATTAATAAAAAATGGTGTTCCAACGTAAACCCATCATCCATCAATCTACCTACACCTGTAAATGAAATGAGAAAATTATTCTTCAGTTTTCCTTTCAGCATTTATTCAAAGATTCATTCCCTTTATTTATTCAAAGATTCATTCCCTCCATATTGATTCATACCTCCAGTAGTTTTTGATGCAATCAAATCTCCCTCAAAGTCGACAGAGATGTTATAATAATGAGGTCTTCTCGTTTCTGCGAAAATATCCTCCCTATAAGCTTAAAGCCCATGAAGAACGGGTGACCTCTTTTGCAGGGGTTTTTCCCTTGGAAGTTTGGAAAACTCTTCATGATTGAGTAGATAGTCTCAGTTTCCCCATTTTAAAGTTTCACATCTTACCAGCTTTTATCATTTAATGTCTACAAATCTGCATACTATGACCAAATTTTTCCTGGCACTGATGTCGATGTACTCATCCACCATGACAACATTGGAATAACCTGTCTTTTTTCTTTCCGTCATTATGGTCTCCAACTTCAGCCTGGCAGTCAATGGATTCTCTGGCTGAGGCTGCACTTCTGTATGTTGTGTTCTTACTGTTTGGCAGATGTTGGAGATTTGTGACTCCTAAAGTATTTATCAATGACTCATACAGTTTCAGGTAGGACAGGTTATGTTCGATCAGGAAGTACTTAACTTTCTAAGAATTCTTTAATTCCAGGATTTCTTTCTTGGTCATGGTTTCAAATGCTGCTTTAATGTCCTTTTCCATCTTTTTGAAAACCATATCTTTCGCCTCGTGCACCGCAGACGACTTAGACTTGATGACAACATATAGGAAACATAACCTGCAGTATTCCAGACCTTACGGCTTTTGGTGTCTAAGAACAGGGGGCGTTTTGGCCGTTAAAATGCCGCATGTTGAAATTTACCTTTAATTGTCGAGGAGGAAAGCCAAAACCATTTCCTTTCAGATAATATATATATAACATTATATGTTTGTTTTTAAATATTAAAATAGCAACCTAATCTAAGTTTTTTGTTTTTGAGTAATGTAATCAAAATATATGCCATTAAAAGGAGCTCAGTAAATGCAGTACAATACTTTTTATTTCAGAAGATACCTTTATTACAAAAAAAGTTGTGGCATTTTAGAGTCATGAAATTTCGGTCGTTTTGTAAAATTTTATCACTTTATTGATAATGACTAAG